TTTTAGTTGGAGTCTCACTCTGTCGCCCGGACTGGAGTGCAGTGGCCGCTCCCGGCCACCGCAGCCTCGACCTGCTGAGGCGATCCTTCCGCCTCAGCCTTCCGGGTAGCCGGAACTACAGGCGCGCGCTACCGCGCCCGACTAACAATTTTTTGATTTATTGTAGACATGAGGTCTCGGCAAGTTGCCCAGGTGGGTCTCGAACCCACCGGCTCAGGCAATCCACTCACCTCAGCCTCCCAAAGGCACTGGACTACAGGCTGAGCCACAGAGCCCGGCTAGCACTGTGGTTTTAAGCACTCACCTGCCCACCCCCATTTTCCTTAAGCATTCATGGAAAGCCCATATGCACAGTTCCAAAAAGTTACAACACCCAAGACCTGTACATCAAAGGGGTGGAATGGCAGGAGAGAAATCAAAAATCAAAAAGAGAAAAATCCATAAAGCAAAAGCCCACAGTTAGTTTAGTGCTGTTTCTCTCTTGAACAGCTCACTCCATATTTCTTGCTACACAGAGTATACCCTTGCTTTTAATAAAACTATCACTTGCACCTACAGTTTTTCTTGTCGCATGTTCAATTTTTTGTCAACAGGACACAAGAGCCAAGAACCACAACACAGATCCTGCTAACCTGTTGATCTGATAACTTTTTTTAGCTGTTGAAAGTGCTACTTTGTCAAATATAAACATGTAAACTAATACCATGATTTTTCATACATGGTTTTGGGATTATTTAAATATACTAAAATCTTCCCAAAATAGAAGCAGCCTGAATCCTCTAACTCTGCGAATAATTCCCTTTTTTTTCTTGAGTCAGGGTCTTGTTACAGCCCAATCAAACAAATCGGCTGCTAATCCCTCCCAGCCAAGTAAAATTCAAGAGGCAGAGACTGGGAAAAAAGGGAGTGTTTAATTTCTATAACCAGGTTATAGGGAGACAGGTTGGCGTCATTGCCAAAAAACCCACTCAAAGTAACACAAATTAATTCCATTATTTATACCCAAAATTCATAGCCCTTTACCGACCCCGAGAGTTTGAAGCCTACATACAGTTTTAGCATGACTCCAGTTTTACACTAACATTTTACATTTACTTTTTTATTTTTGAGTTGGAGTCTCACTCTGTCGCCCAGACTGGAGTGCAGTGGCCGCTCCTGGCCACCGCAGCCTGGACCTGGTGAACTCCAGCAATCCTTCCGCCTCAGCCTTCCAAGTAGCTGGAACTACAGGCACGCACTACCACGCCTAGCTATTTTTGATTTAGAGTGGAGATGAGGTCTCGCCAAGTTGCCCAGGCAGGTCTTGAACCCGAGCTCAGGCAATCCACTCACCTCAGTCTCCCAAAGTGCTGGGATTACAGGCTGAGCCACCGAGCCCTGCCGAAAGGTATATTTATTAAAGGAAAGATACATTGCGAAGGGCACAATGGGCAGGACAAAACGAGAGTGTCCACTGTCTACTGCCTACATTAACAATTTTTGATATGTGACTACTAGCGTGACACAAAGTCTCCTGATCATGTTGACATTTTAGATAACGTTTTGGAATTTACAATATGTTCTTTTACAGTTTTGTTTTGTTTTTTTAGTAGAAGTCTCACTCTGTCGCTCAGGCTAGAGCTAGAGGGCAATGGCAGGTTTATGGCCACCGCAGCCTCGACCTGCAGGGCTCAGGTGATACTTCTGCCTCAGCTTTCCACGTAGCTGGAACCACAGGCGTGGGCTACCACGCTTGGATAATTTTTATTATTTACTGTAGAGCGGAGGTCTTGCCAAGTTACCCAGGCTGGTCTCGAACTCCCGGGGCTCAGGCAATCCTCTCACCTCACCTTCCAAAGTGTTGGAATTATAGGCGTGAGCTCAGCCCAGTATTTTTTTTAGAGAAAGGGGCAGACAGTTGCAATATTTGGAAGGAAGGGAAAATCATAACATGTAAGATGATAACTAAATTGTTTTAAAACATAATTGTAATGATTGTTTATTCTCAAAGCCCTAGCCTATAACAGTCTGATGTCTTTGTATTCACAGATGGAGGGCAGGTGGGCAACGCCCATACCAAGCTTTCAGACATATTCCTGTCATCCTTGGTCCACTCTCTCAATTATTAGGTTGGACTGGCTTGCCCAAGTGTTTCATCTTCAGCACCAGCAATGGCTTACTAGGTAAGACTGGACAGTCAGGCAAGATCGTGCTAGGAGAGGAAAAAGGTGGAGGTGGGGATAGGAAAAATGTACACTATAAAATCCAAACGGCTTTTACGTTTAGCTCAACTCAGCTACACAAGAATACGAGTTTTTAAGTCTTTTCTAAATGATTGTTCCAATATGACCAAGATGGTTTCTTTTCAGCCTATAACAGTCTCATTCAGTCTCCCAGGCTGGAGTGCAGTGGCACTCCACTTGCTCCCTGTAGCCTCGAACTCCACGGCTCAAGCCATCCGCCAGTAGCTAGGACTACACCTAACACCAGGCCTGGCTAATTGTGTGTGTGTGTGTGTGTGTGTGTGTGTGTGTGTGTGTGTGTGTGTGTGTGTCAAAGTCTCATTCTATAACCAAGACCAGTGTGCAGTGGCACGCTCAGGGTCACCACAGTCTCGAACTGCCAGAATCAGGCAATCCTTTCTTCTTAGCCTTCCAGGTTGCTGGAATCACCAGGCACCCGCCATCACGCCCGGCTAGTTTTGTGATTTATTGTAGAAACGAGGTCTCACCAAGTTGCCGGGGTAGGTCTCAAACTCACAGGCTCGGGCAATGCTCTCACCCCTGCCTCTCAATGTGCTGGAATTATAGGCGTGAGCTACGGCGCCTGGCTTGTTTCTTTCTTTCTTTTTTTTTTTTTTTGAGTTGGAGTCTCACTTCCTTGCCCAGTCTGCAGTGCAGTGGCACGCTCACGGCCACCCGAGTTTCGACCTGCTGGACTTAGGCGATCCTTCCCCCTCAGCCTTCCAAGTAGCCGGAACTATCAGGCACGTGCTACCACACCCGGCTATTTTTTGATTTTTTTTGTAGAGATGAGGTCTCACCAAATTGCCCGGGCTGGTCTTGAACTCGCAGGTTCAGGTAATCGACTCGCCTCGGCCTCCCAAAGTGCTGGGATTACAGGCTGAGCCACCACACCCGGCCTTCTTTTTTTTTTTTTTCTTCCAGTTAGGTAGACATTATTTATGTATAGATAAGTTTTTTTGGTTTTTGTTTGTTTGTTTGGTTTTGAGTTGGAGTCTCACTCTGTCACCCAGGCTGGAGTGCAGTGGCCGCTCCCGGCCACCGCAGCCTCAACCTGCTGGGCTCCGGCGATCCTTCCGCCTCAGCCTTCCAAGTAGCTGGAACTACAGGCGTGCGCTACCACGCCCAGCTAATTTTTTGACTTATTGTAGAGATGAGCTCTCACCAAGTTGCGGGTCGCGAAGTGTTTTTGTTTTTTTAAGAGAGAAGATGAAGGCTGGGCTCGGTGGCTAAGCCTGTAATCCCAGCACTTTCGGAGACCAAGGCGAGTCGATTGCCTGAGCCCACAAGTTCGAGACCCACCCGGGCAAATTGGCAAGACCTCATCTCTACAATAAATAAAAAATTAGCTGGGGCCGGGCTCGGTGGGTCAGCCTGTAATCCCAGCGCTTTGGGAGGCAGAAATGAGTGGATAGCCTGAGCCCGCGGGTTCGAGACCCACCTGGGCAACTTGGCGAGACCTCATATTTACAATAAATCAAAATGAGCCGGGCGTGGTAGCGCGCGCCTGTAATTCCAGCTACTCTCAAAGCTGAGGCAGAAGGATCGCCGGATCCCAGCGGGTTGAGGCTGCGGTGGCCGGGAGAGGCCACTGCACTCCAGTCTGGGCGATAGAGTGAGACTGCAACTCAAAAAAAAAGAGAGAGAGAAGTGTTGCCCAGGCTAGTCTCCAACTCCTGGCCTCAAGCGATTCTCTCGCCTCGGTCTCCCCAAAGCGCTGGGATCATAGTGATAGAGCCAGCTCTCAGACCCAAGAAACTTACTGAGCCCTGAGTCAATCCTGATGCTGCCCTAGGCTTTAAGGGTCCTACTTTGGCAGCCAGCTAGAGGTGACGTCAGTGGTAAGATCCCAGGCCGACCTAAGGCTTCGTCCCCCACCCCTCGCCCAAGTCCAGTTCTATCCCAAGGTTGCAGGACCCCACGTGGGGAGAAGGGACCACGCCGGTACGGCGGCGCTGCGCATGCGTCGCCGCAGAGCACGGCGGGAAAGGGGCGGGGCTGGCGGGCGCTTTCGCTTGGAAGATTCTTTGGGAAGCTTCGCGCGGCGAGATTTCTGGGAGAAATCAGTAAGCTTTCTTATGGGGCTGTTTTCGGTCTTTACTCCTGCGCTTTATCGGAAAGGGGCAGAGTTTCTGCTGCCGGAGGGAGGATGACGCGCCGGGTCCGGTTCTAGCGACCGAGCGCTGAGTGTGGATTCCGCCATCTGGGGGTCGGGAACTCCGGGCAGGCCCTGCCCTGGATTGTGCTTGTCGCCTCCTTCAGCCTTTTCCGCTGGAAAGCGAGGGTTGGGTGGGGGGAGGGTCCTTGCTCCGCACTTCTTGCGACTCTCGCCTCCTCCTGCTCCTGCATTGTAGTTGGGCTTTCACACTTATGATCTCTCCCCGCGGCCTCTCCGTCTCTCACATTCTCGTCTGATCACACATGTGGCTCTCCATTAAGCAATGATTTTTCAGACTTAAAAAAAATCCTGGAATTCCTTTTGCAAATAGAGTTGTACACGGGATTCTAGCTAGAAGAGAGGAAGGGATTATTATAAAAGTTTGTCTCGTGGTGGACTCGGATTTGAAAATGGTGTTATATGAAGGCGCACGGTATTTTGCTGTATTGTACGAGACTGAGAATATCTTGGTCTGCGTGGACTAGTGTTTGCAAACGGTAACTTAATCTGAGGATGCAGTGTCAGCATGCTTTTTAAACTGAACCAAAAGGTTAAAAGTACATAAGTGAACAATTTTTGCCTTAAGAGCTGAATTACTAATAACATCTGGCAATAACTTGCATTCCCCATCACAAATATATGAGATAAGAAGCTCCTGAAATGTATAGCAAGAACATTATTAGGACATTTTGCCCATTTAACTCTTAGATTGGGCCAAGAGCATTAAAGAAGAAAATGCACTTTGTAAAATAGTGAATTTTCTTCTAGGGCTTATGTGAATGAACATACATAAGTCAGAATCCAAAAAGAACTTTTGTAGACCTGTAACATTACTAATCGATGTCAAAGCTACAAGAAATTAAACTGTATTCACCCAGATGGCAGGAAAAGCTATTTTCTTTCTTTAAAAAGAAATTATTATTATTTGAGTCTGAGTCTGAGTCCTACTCTGTCACCCAGGCTGGAGTGCAGTGGCACAAACACACTATGGAAGCCTCAAACAGCTGGGCTCTGACGATCCTTTTGGAGTAGCTGGGAATACAGGCCTGCCATCACACCTGACTTGCTGATTGATTGATTGATTGATTGATTTGGCATCTCACTCTATCACCCAGGCTGGAGCATAATGGTACAGCCATAGCCACAGCCGCCTAGCCTCGACCTGCTGGGCTCAGGCAGTCCTTCCGCCTCAGCCTTCCATGTAGCTGGATCCACAGGCATGCCCCACCACACCTAGCTCTAATTTTTTTGTTATTTATTGTAGAGACGGGTCTCACTAGGTTGCCCAGGCTGGTCTTGAACCACTGGGCTCAGTCAGTCCTCTCGTTTCTGCCTCGCAAAGTGCTAGGATTACAGGCATGAGCCACAGGGCCTGGCTGTAGTGTTTTTGTGTTGTTGTTTTTTTGTTGTTTGTTTTTTTTGCTAGTCTCGGACTCTGGGGCTCAGACATTCCTCTTGCCTCAGCCTCCCCACGTGCTGGGATTACAAGCATGAGCCAGTGGGCGCAGCCCTATTTCTTTAAAAAAAAAAAAATACTTGGCGGGCTCCGTGACTCAGCCTGTTATTCCAGCACTTTGGGAGGCCAAGTTGGAGTAGATTGCCTGAGCCCACAGGTTCGAGACCAGCCCGGGCAACTTGGTGAGCCCTCGTCTCTACAATAAAAAATTAAATTAAATTAAATTTGAAAAAAATACTTTTTTCTTTTTAAGTTAGAGTCTCATTCTGTTGCCCAGGCTGGGGTGCAGTGGCACGCTCATGGCCACCACAGCCTCTACCTGCTGGGCTCAGGTGATCCTTCTGCCTCAGCCTTCCAAGTAGCTGGAACTACAGGCATGCGTCACCATGCCCTGCTGATTTTTTTAATTTATGGTGGAGATGAAGTCTCTCCAAGTTGCCTAGGCTGGTCTCGAACCCATTAACTCAGGCAATCCTCTCACCTGGGCCTCCCAAAGTGCTGGGATTATAGGTATGAGCCACTGTGCCTGGCCTTGAACTCAAGGTTTTCAAGATAGGTAGATGGGTATGTACAAGAAGAAGGGGGCAGGAGAAGAGAGTATATAAGTGTGTGTGTATAAACACATGTATGCATGTGCATGTTTGTGTACATATATACATTTTCTAGTTTGTCAACTGAGAGGCTCTAGAAGCAATGGCACTCCAGCAGCAATGAACACTCCTAGTGTCCAGATCTTGGATTCCAAATAGTATTCTCCGATAAAAGGAATCAGGGTGCCTTGGAGAAATGGCTGATTCCAGGATAGGAAAGGTTCAAGATAAATCTGGAGCATCTTGCTGTATCCTGAAGCAAGGATACACTCAAAGAATGATGGAAACATGGCAAAAGAACATAGGAACCAGCTTGAAGGGTTCCCAGTGGCTAAGTCAGAGAAAATCTTGAGCATCAAGATTAAATAAAAACAGTAATAGATTATAACCCACGGAATGAATGGGAATCTGTAAGCCTATAATGATATTAATAAACTGATGAGTAGTGCTATAATCCTAGCACTTTGGGAGGCCGAGGTGAGAGGACTGCCTGAGCCCAGGGGTTTGAGACCAGCCTGGGCAACTTGGTGAAACCTCATCTCTACAATAAATTAAAAGTCAGTTGTACAGAGTGGCATGCTAGGTAGTTACAGCTACTTGGAAGGATCCCCTGAGCCCAGTAGGTTGAGGTTGTGGTGGCCATGAGCATGCCACTGCACACCAGCCTACGTGACAGAGTGAGAGTCCACTCTAAAAAATTAATAATAATAATAAGCTGATGAATAAATAAATGGGGGAGAAGGAAAAGTATTTCCTGAGGGTAGAATGCAAACTTATAACAGGGGAGAGATAATAGAACTAGAATGTCACTATTTGACGATTATCAAAGTAACCACCGATTCAGGCATGTGTCTGCAAAAGTGAAGGCGTGTGAGTGGTGGATGGTTTTCCACTTCCTAGAGTCAGTGTGTCTTTCTACCTCAGTAGCCCGTGGGTCTCAAAACCCTGAAAAACGCAGATAAGGGTTTCTCATGCCCATCTGACAAATGAGGAAAGTGAAGCTCAGAGGTGAGAAGGGGCATGCTGGGTTCACCTAGTGATTCGGTGGCAGTAGGGATTCAACCCCAGGCATCCTTACTTAACTGTCCATTGTGGGAAGGAGGTGGCCTCCTACTCCCTTTGGCTACTGTGTGAGAAACATGGGTTCAAGCTCAAGGGCTGGGGGCGGGGTTTGAACAGGGTTGGGGGTGGGAGGGAGGTGCTTACCGATGAAGCTCTTCAGGAGGGGGTCGATGGGATGAGGCTGGTCCGAGATGAGGAACTTGACCGCTGTGATGACAGTGCTCCGCGTGTGTGGCTGACCTGAGGATAAGATGTGACTTAATGAGGGACAGAGGCCAATCTTGGACACTCACAAGTTGGAAGGTGCTGAGGCTCTCCCTGACTCTATGGAAGACAGAACTGCACCTGCTCCCCACTCGGGGCACCCTCTCTCTATCTCTGGGGAAGTCGATGCTACCATTTCTCTCAGCAGCCTTGAATCTCCCAATTTCTCCTGCTGCAGCTGAGAGAGTAAGACTGCAGTTTCAGGTAACCATGTTGTATGATGCAAAGAGAGAACCATTAATGTAAGACACGGTCACTCAAAGAAGACCTCCCCTCAGGCCTTGAGACGCATCAGGTTTGTTAGACATATTATTCTGATTAATCCTCAGGATGATGCTATTAATTAATTAATCATAGGCTGAGTGCAGTGGCTCATGCCTGTAATCCCAGTGTTTCAGGAGGTTGAGGTGGGAGGATTGCTTGAGCCCAGGAGTTTGAGACCAGCCTAGTTAGCACAGGGAGAATCAGTCTCTTTAAAAAATAAAATAAAAATAGCCATGCATGGTGGTGCATGCCTGTAGTCCCAGTTACTCAGAAGACTGAGATGGGAGGATCACTTGAGCCCAGGAGTTTGATGCTGCAGTGAGCTGTGATTGCACCACAACACTCCAGCCTGAGAGACAGAGTGAGACCCCACCTCTAAAAATAATAATAAAGAATGGTAAAGTATTGACTTAAATAATAAAAGTGATTGTCAATGTCTATTTTATGCATGAAGAAAGAGAGACTCAGAGCGGTTAAGTTTATATGGAAGGCCACACAGCAGATCCAAAGTTCCTGGCTGGGTCCCTCCTGGGCCTGCATCTCCAAGCAGGGCCAGCGGTGCTTCAAGTGGCATGCAGGCCAGGGGTTGTAACAGGACTCGGAACAGCTCCAAGCTTGGTGATGGAGGATTCACTCAGTTTTGCTTTGCGTCTTGCTGTCTGAGTAGAGAAGCTGAGGGAAACGGAAAAATCCATGTCCCAGTCAGTCAAAGACACCTCACAGGCCTCTGCATCGCCCCTAGGCTGCTGGCTCCTTTGCACAGGCCCCCCAGCCCCACACACCACAGCGAGTGAGCTAAGGTGTTTCCATCACACAGACTGTCAACTCAAGCTTCAAGGAGAAAGTTCATTAATTTGGTGCTAAGGTATGAACGAGTGGAAGTTACTGAATCCAGACTTGTAGTTCTTTCTCCTTCTCTTTCCAGCCTGACTGGTTCCCAGGAAGATTCAGGGGGGCTGATGAAGACAAACAGAATAGGATTAAATGAACTGAAAATAAGGAAAACACGAGTAAGGACAACTAGAGGCAGGGAGGTGAGATAAAGACCAGGATGAGAGGCACACAGAGCGCACCAACTAGGAAGGCCCAAGGACTTGCTAGAAGCCTAAGAGGCCACTAATTTGACTCTAAGCTGTGGTAAGAAGGAAATGTGACCAAGTAACTGGTTCTGTGCATGGGACAGAAACAACTGGTGCTTAGAGCAGGGCTCGTCCTTGTCACGAGACTCTTGTCTCTCAAGGTCCCTCATGTAACGCAATAAACCATGTCCTCAACAACATTCTTTCCGTCCACACAGGGATGGGGCTACACAGCAGCTTCTCATCAATCCAGCAACCCAAGAAGGCCTTCACGAACATACCTAGCAACAACAGCAGTTTTGGGATTACTCAGTATTAATTACTGAAGGTACCATTCAGCGTACCAAGCACTTTACCTGCATTCTGGCAACAAATACATCCAGAGGACTTCTGTTCTGGGGCCTTCGCTTGCCCCAGGGCTCCAGGACCCCACCCGTCTTCCTACCTCCTGGATCTGTGAAACACTCTGATGTACCCTTACACGACAACCCAAAATACCTGCCCTCCTGGTTCTTGGCCAGCTCTCTCCAACCCCAAGGGCATGGCATGTTATCCAACCCCAGTCTACACGGACTTTTGCCCTGGCCTCAAGCCGGCCCAAGAAAGGTGACCCTCGGCAGGCTGCAGTCTCCGGTCCCTCAGAGAACTGTTTTTATTAACCTTGGCCTGGAGCATTAGGCTACTGCCCATACCAAGGATTATGAAAATGGCATCATGAAATTTTTAGTGTATTTGCTGTCCCTTCTATCTCGGAGAGTCCCACAGGAGGAAGTTTTTAAGTTCCAGGAGACTGTGTGTTCCTCTGTGGCTCCTCTGCCTCTGTCTCCTAGACACTGTGACTCTTGTACCCAACAACCTGAAACATCTCCTTCTGCCTGAGCTGCTTGGATGCTCAGGAGCAAACTGCCCACCTCTGAGTTGGGCTGCCTCTGCCCATGCCTGTGCTCCTACCTGCAGCGAGCTGCTTCCGGAAGCGGGGCAGAAGGAATGGAGGGTTCACAAGGACCAGCTTCCCGATGCACTCGGCCACCACCCCCCGGGTGCCCTCTTCAGGGCCCTCGCAGTGCTGGAAGAGCAGGGCCCAGATGTCCTCGACGTAGGGCTTCAGGCTGCTGGGCTGGGCAGCTCCCAGGGCCTCCCTGAGTGAGTGCAGCAGCAGGTATTGTCGCCGGGGCTCGGACTCAATCTGCCTCAGCAAGAAGGGCAGGAAGTCGGGCAGGTTGCCAGCGCCTACACGGCCCAGGGCGTAAGAGGCTGCAGCCCTCACGTCCTCACTGGGTGACCCCAAGGCTTCCAAAAGCACCGTCTTCAGCTCCCGCTGGGGGCCCGGCCCGGCCACCTGACCCACCTCAGCCAGTGACAGGAACGCCAGAACCTTGACCCCCGTGCTGGAGTGAGGCGACCTGGCGTCAGAGACCAGGCGGCTGGCTGTGCCTGCTGCCTCCTGGGGACAGGCAGCCGAGAGGGCTGCCACACACCGGGCCAGCGAGTGGAACACCTGCTTGTGCAGGCCCAACCCACCATCCACAGCCTGGTCATGAACGGGTGCAGTGAGCAGGCTGATGAGTTTTGCGTAGTCCATGCATGGGGGGCGGGTCCCCACCAGAGCTTGTAGGAAGCCTTCGGTGGCTGCCAGCACTCCCGCTGGCAGCAGGGGTGAACGCAGCAGCCGCAGCAGCTCTGAGAGCACAGGGCCACTGACCTGCGCCAAAGAGGCTGGCTGGGCCTGGGTCACTGTGGCAAGGAAGTCCACAGCCAGCTGGGCTACGTGCATGTCACTCTCATTGACCAGGGCAGGCAGCTCAGCCAGCACAGCCTGTAGGGCAGATGGTGGGAGGCTAAGTCCCTGGCTCTGGGCCAGGGCGTCCAGGGCAGCCAGCGTGGCCAGCCGCAGCGCCCGCTGGTTCTTACGCAGGAATGAGGCCAGAACGGGCAGTGCCGCGGCCAGGATGGGCTGCAGGTCAAGCTGCAGTGGGGACACAGCCACCAGTGTCAATGCCTTCACGGCAGGCAGTCGAGTGATCTCATTCCGCAGGCGGTCCAGGAGGAGCAGTAAGGTGGGCTCCAGGTCATGCCCCAGCTTGTCCCCCAGGTGGCCCACGAGGTGGCCCATGCAAGAGATGGCCCGCTCTTTCACTTCCTGGTCCAGGTCAGTGGCGCGGAGTCGCGCCAGGGTGGCCGCGGACATCTCTCCAATGTACGGTTCAGGGTCAAGTGTCCGCGGCCTGTCCAGTGGCCATAGGGCCCGTACCAGCTCCTGTAGCACCAGTAGGGCCTCGGCCGCAATCTTGTAGAAAGGGTCGGCCACACAGGCTATCACAGGTGGCAGGAGGGTGGGCAGGTGAGGGTGGAAGGCCTCAGCCGGTTCCGTGCCCAGCAGCCCCTGCAGAAAGACCAGGGCATCCATCCGGATGGTGGAGGAGCTGGAGTGGTCAGCCAGCGAGAAGACAATGCCTGCAGAGTAGGTGCAAAGATTATGGGCCACGAACTCAGACCCAACATGGCCCCTGCTGGAAGCGAGAATGGAGCACCCACAGGTGCCTGAGCTGGACTGAAGCACCTACGCTCTTATGCAGAAGTTTCCAAGAAGTCAAGACTTGACTAGTGCCCAGGGTTGAGGGAAACCAGGCAGGGAACTCACCTGAAACCAGGAAGTAGGGCCAGGTACTCAGCCTCGTTCTCCCTGCTGGGAGTGGGGAGCCACTGTAGGCTACCAGCCACAGGCTCAGTCTGGGACAGGGGCTCAACTCAGGGCTGGGATCTGGGTTCTGGAAGAGGCCCAGAACAGCAGACACCGGGTTGGGGTCCAGCCTACCTGATACCAGCACAGGCATGTGCTCAGCCAGGCTGCCAGGGAGGACGCCCGCCAGCTCGCTGAGAAGGCTGAAGCAACCCTGGCGGGCCCTGACACTCCGGTCTTTAAGCTGCCGCTGCAGGGCCTTGATCACGAGGGTCACCTGTGGGCCGGTGAGGGCAGTCAGGGACATCCAGGAAACCTCTCCACCTGTCTACCACCAGGGGACTCTGCCAGGTGTATCCCCAGGGAGGATACCAGTGTGGAGAGGAAGTCTTCCAAGTACATATCCCTTGCTCTCTGCCAGGCCCTTGGGGGCAGGCACTCCTGGGTCCTCACAGGTTCAGGGAGATTAGGTCACCAGTAGGCTGGCTGTCACTACCATACACCATGAAGGGGAAGCAGAAGCCTGGCTGGTCCCACCCTGTGGGCCCCTCCCTTCCTTGACTAGATCCTCTCCCTAGATGAGCTTCTGAGTCCAGCGACACTAATGATGAGCAGGTGGGTGGGCACATCCATGAGAGGGAGTAGGGCCAAGGCATGCCCACCTGTCCCCGCAGCATGTGGAGGTTGCTGCCAGTCTGTGTGGGCTCCTCCATGGCCTCCAGCCATCCCTTCGGGGGCCGCGTTTGCCGCAGCAGCACGATGTAAGCCAAGAAGACGTCGGCCTTGACATTCTCCTCCCGTTCTTTGAAGCGGTGGATGAGCATGGGTGCCAGGGTGCAGTGGAAATCGGGTAGCAGGTCGGGCCGTGAGCCGATCAGGGCCGCTATACACTTGGCCGCTGCCCGGCGCACCTTCCAGCTCATGTCATCGTCGTCGCTGTACTCATCCTCGCTCTCTGGGGCAGGGACAAGACATGCATGGTCTACCAGGATGGGCCTGTGACTCCGGGAAGGAGGTGGGGGAGAGGGAGCCTGGCACTGTGTTTCCCTTTCAATAATCAATATTTATACCTTATTGAGGAATGTTTCCTGCCTTTTCAGGAGCACCCACCTTGTGACAGGGATGGCACTAAGCACATCAAAGCCATCAACTCATTTTAGCCTCATTTGGCCTTGAGAGATAGGGACTATTTCTCTATTACAGGGAGCTTGCAGAGAGGAAGTGGCTTGCCCCAAGGTAGGAGAATGTTTGGAGTTAAAGCAGGGCCCTCCATCTGCTTCCAAATCCTCAACTGTTTTAACAACACCAGAGAAGAAATGGACTAACCTATCCTTTGGCTTCAGAACTGGCTGTGTGGTGTTTCATTTGCTGGGATTCCAGGAGGGAGAAGTGATAGGGCCTCCCTTTGGCCTTTTCCTTCCTCTCAGCCCCACCCTCTCAGGGGTCCTGATTCTGAACGCTTCCAAGCAGGACTAGGATGGCACTGAAGAAATGCTGGACATGTGTGGCTTTCTACTCCACGAGCTCCTCAAGAGGCAAGAGCTTATGTCTCTACTGGCACCTCAGAAATGAAGCTGATGCTAGGCCCCATTTTACAGATGACAAGATTAAGGCTCAACGAGGGCAAGGCCCTCCTAAGGGCGCACAGCTAGGAAGAAGCAGAGCTGAGACTCAGGCCCACAGAGCCTACTGCCATCGCCTGGGGAGGCACACGAGGCTCTGAGGGGACAGTCCTAATGAGGGCACCCCGAAACACAGGCGTGGAAGGCCAACGTGTTCCTGTCCACGCTGCTCTGTCGACAAGTCAGACCCCCAGAGCACTTGTGTCTGGACAAGTCACTGTGGGTACATCCACTGGTCAGCTCAGCAGATGTCCCCTCTGATGGACTCTTTTTTGTTACTTCCACCCTATGCCAGTCCTGAAAGAACATCATTAGCTTCCTATTACTGACAAGAAAATGTCCAGACTACCCAGCTTGGCATTCAAGGCCCCAACAAGCCTGTCCAGTCTCATCTCCTACCATCCCATCTTGTTCCGAGTACCTTCTCAGGCCTTAAGTCTATGGTCTTCGTCTACCTCCTGCCTTCAGGCTTAGGAACATTTCTGCCCTGGGAATCTGTCCAAGTACGAGAGGACCCCAGGCAAAGGAAGCAAGGAAGTCACTGAGTTCATCCTCCCACCTGGGTGTCTTTCTCTCTGTCAGTGCCTACCATCCCACCATTAGAGCTTCCTTCTGCTAGGATGGAAGTATTATCTTTTGAAAGCCGCTAATAAAAGGGCATAGAGATGGCAGCAGAGGAAGCCTGATAGACGGGGCTCCAAGCCCCAGCCAGGCCACTTCCTAGTTGTATCATCTCAGGTACCTCTCTTTTCCTTGTCTGAAATATGGGGGTAATAATACAGTATTTTAGGGTTACTGTGAGGAACACGAATGCCAGAAGATGCTCAACAAGCGCCAGTGATGGCTACAATCGTTAAGGCTACCTGTGGAGTCTGAGCGGAGTGAGTGGGGGCTGGAGCCTGAGGAAGAGCTGGCATCAGGATAGGGGCACCAAATATACCCCACTGCCACCCTCCAACCCCATGACAGGTTGTCTGCCCACCTTGCTCACTGAACTCGCTGTCCTCTGTCTCCATCTGTTCCTCGTCCTTGTCACTGTCGTAGTTATAGTTGGGGTCGTGCTTCATGTACTGGAGACAGAGGCTGGTCACACTGGGCACGTGAGGGCCCATCTCCGTGGGACACCTGTGGGGCAGGATGGGGGAGACTCTGCTGGATCCAGGCAGGATGGGGGCGTGGGGCCCAAGGGTGAGTCCTGAGAATTTACGGCTTTGAGGCCAGCAATCCCCACAACTTCCCAGAGAAATCCCAGGCACCCTACTGTACCTACTTCCTCAAGAAGGCCTCAAAGGCCTGGAGGCAGGACTCCCGGAGCTCATCATCATCCAGGTTGCAAAAATCCTCCACCAGGGGAACTAGGCGGTCCAGGTGGGCTCCTGTAGGGCCGGGTGGGTCACTAAAGCCAGGCCAGAACTCCAGGGTACTCCCAGCCCACAGCACTCAGCCTGCAGCCCTGACCGCTTGCAAATTCAACTCAGAGGCTTCGTGAGTTCTAGCCCTGACTCTGCCCTAACTGCTATGGAACCTTGGGCAGGTCATACCGCTTCCCCAACCTCAGTCTACTGATCTTCACAGTAAGGATAACAGTACCTCCTGGGCAGAGATTTTGTAAAGCTTAATAAAGTAACGGAGTTAAAGAGCTTACCCTAGGTCCTGGAAAAGAGCAGGCACTCAATAAGTAGCATCTGCTATTAAACCTATTATTCACATCCTTGCCTTAATTCCTGTATGTACGAGGCTGTGAGTGCTTGGATGGTAAAAAGGAGAGGCAGGTACTGCCTGAATAGGCCAGGCAAGAAGGGTCCCTGCCTGGCCTCCGGGATTTACAGGATCACACCCTTGCCCTTCTCCAGTCTCACCCTTCTGCACAGGCCAACAAGGGACATCCTGGCCTAGATCCCCTCCTAGATTCTACCTTGGCTGAGTACTTGGGACCTCAGAGTCTCTTGCCCAGCTAACCCCGAGCCCTTGTCTGAGCCTTTGAGGGCCCCTTTCCCGGGGCCATGCTCCCATAGGCGGACAAGGGTCAGCTGCTGTATGGGAGGGATGGGACAGGGTGTAGACATGCTGGCTGGGGTGTCCCCATGTATGCCTGCAAAGCCTCTTGCAGGGAGAGAGCCAGAGGTGTGGAGGGGCAGGCCATGGACCAACTCTGCCCACTACCCTGCTTGAGCCCAGAACTCCAAGGGTCTGAGGACACATTCAAACCCAACTGCAGCCTTCCCTTTCTGTATTTATTTGTTTTAATTAATTAATTACTTTTAGAGAAAGGGTCTTGCTTTGTTGCCCCCGCTGGAGTGCAGTGGTGCAAGCTGAACTCACTGTAGCCTTGAACTCCGGAGCTCAAGCAATTCTCCCATCTTGGCCTCCCAAAGTGCTGGGATTAGAGGCCTAAGCCAGCCCCTGCCTTCCATTTCTAAACAGCTGATCTGTAGTGACAGGAAGCATTGAGATGAGGCAGAAGGAGGGATGGCCTGCAAAGGGGCACAAGGAAACCTTTGGGGGTAAGGGAAATGCTCTGTATCTTGATTGTGGTGGTAGCTTCACGGGTGTATGCAAACATCAAAACACGCTGAACCATACACTTTATTTTAGAGACAGGGTCTTGCTCTGTCACCCAGGCTGGAGTGCAGTGGCACAATCATATCTCACTGCAGCTTCTACCTCCTGGCTTCAAGCGATCCTTCTGCCTCAGCCTCCCAAAGTGCTAGGATTATAGGTGTGAGCCACTATGCCTGGCAGAATTGTACACTTTAAACAGTGTGGTTTATTGTATGTGTATTATCCTCCAAAAAAAAATGCAAACCAAGCTTATGTCAAAGTAGGTATATTTGTCAAAGTAGGAGGCTAGAACATATTTAACAGTTTGGTGGCATGATTTATAATTACAACTGACCTACAATTACAATTATAATTATAGGCATGGTGGCTCGAGCCTGTAATCCCAGCACTTTGGGAGGCCAAGGTGAGAGGACTGCATGAGCCCATGGATTCGAACACAGCCTGGGGAACTTGGTGAGACCTCATCTCTACAATAAATAAAAAACTAGCCAGGCGTGGTAGCGCGCGCCTGTAGTTCCTGCTACTTGGAAGGCTGAGATGGAAGGATCGCCGGAGCCCAGCAGGTGGACACTGGGGTGGCTGTGAGCATGCCACTGCACTCCAGCCTGGGCGACAGAGTGAGACTCCAACTCAAAAAAAAAAATTGCGATTCACCTCAAGGGTCCAGGTCTCGGATGTGACTGATCCAAGCTCATTCCCTGAGAGGGATCAGACGAGTTAGCACATGGTGCTCAGGACCCAAGCTCAGTCTTCCAAGCCCTGGCCCCCAGCCCCACCTTCCCTGTTCCTGGGGCTTCAGCCCTGCCCCCTGACCAAAGAGGCCGCTAGGCCCTCGCCTAGGCCCGCCCGGCTCTGCCACACCCCCTTACCGAGGCGGTGGCCGGCCTGGCGGCCGACGCTGCCCAAACACTGGATCAGGGTGCGGATGGCAGCAGGGCTGGCAGGCGTGCAAGGGCCGGGCAGCCGGTCCAGCAGGTGGTCAGCGAGCTCCACGAAGAGGTCTGTGCTGCAGGCGGCCGCCAGGTGGCCGAGTGCCACGACTGCCCGCTTGCGCACCGCCAGGCGTGGGCTGCTCAGCTGCGGCAGCAGACAGTGCAGGAGACTGGCGTGAAAGGCACCCAGCGGGACACCCAGCCTGGGGAGCAGAGGGAGCATCAGGCCCAGCCCACCTGGCAGGCCGCCAGGGCCAAGGCCCCGCCCCCTCCTCATCCTCTCCTGGCCTCCTCCCCAGAATTATAGCAATCCGGTGGCCCCTGGCAAACAGAAGGGTTTGCAACTGTGAGGAGGAAGTATTTAAATTATTTATTTTTGTTACACAAGCAGCAGCAGAGAGAGAGGAAGGGGCTTCTCATGGCCACTCAACCAAGAAATGCAAGGCCAGGACTTAAACCCGGTGTTCAGGCTCCCAGCCTGGGGAGAAGGCCCAGTGGAGATGGGGCATGGCATGGGGCTGGCTCCGCTTCCTGGGGATCCGGGGCCTGCCTCAAAAGCGTCTCTCCAGTCCATCGTCCCCGCTGAGGCCAGAATGGTCTAAAATTTACTTCTGACCTGGTCACTCCTCTACTTAACTCCATCTATGGCTCCTTAGTGCCCTTTGGAGCAGCTGAGCTCTGGGCTCGAGACAAGAGGCAATGACAGAGCATGGCTTCTGCACAGGTAGAACACAGCCCCCTTCCCGCCGCAGCAGCTTCTATCCTCACCTTCAAACCAGGCCTGCAGCTTGTGTCCCATAAATGTCCTGAGGCCTTTCCTCTGCTCACTCCACATGAACTCAATGATCTTACCCACCCATATCTCTGTCCAGCCAGACCCTACTCCTAGGTTTCATGGGTTTGTTGATTTGTTCCACTACTATGTGACAGAGACTGCGCTAGAAGCTAGGGTGAGCAAAACTGACTCCGGTCCCAGGACCCGCCCTCGTGGGGTTTATGGTAGAGTGGGTGCCTCCTGGGTTCCTCAAATTCATGTGCCCCAAACTGAATCCACTACCTTCCTCCCCACACACCTGCTCCTGCTCCCGCAGTGCACCCACCCCAGCGGCTCTATCCATCCCCCAGTTACTAAAGGCAGCCCCTGGGGTCCTGCTCCAGCTTCTGCCTCTCTTGCCCACTCCAAATCCTGTGAAGTCAACCTCCTGAAGACAACCAACCCGATTTCACCTGCCCGCAGAAGCCTCTTAACCAGCTCCCTCCCATCTCCTCTCCACACTGCAGAGAGAAAGGTCACTGTAAAACCCACAAATACTTGTCCCCCTGGCTCCTGGTCGTCCCTCCAGCCTCCTCCCTCCACACTTGCCTCTCCACATTACAGCCCACCCCACGCCTGGCACCAGCCTTGGGACACCCCCCGCCCCATCTTCCCCTGCCTCTGCTCTCTGGGCTGGGGACAGTCTCCCCTCCAGCCTCCCCCCATGCCTGCCCAGACCTGGCTAAGTCCTGCCACTACTCAAAGGCTCAGTACCCTCCAGGACCCTCTCTAGTAAGGGTTGCCACCCTCAGCTGGGTTGGGAAGCTCCTCTGAGCGCTTATCAGCCCTGCTCTGATCCGGATTTGTACTTTCTACATTCTCGGTTTCTGTGTGTCTTTGAATGCCTCCCTAGGAGCAACCAAGACTGATCGACTCCAAATTCCCAGCACTAGTCCAGCCCTCACTCCAGTCATTATGGCTGCAGAATAGGTGCTCAAGTCATGGGAGGTTTCATGGATACTGTGACCCCGGGTAGGCACATCACCTCTCAGGGCCTGTCAAGCTGTGACAATCAACTTCTTCACAGGGCTGCCGGCATGATCCAGGAGCCTGCGCTCAGGGCCTGGTGTGCAGGAGGTGCCGGCTCTGTGGATTTGAGGTCCCCTGTCTCCTGTCACCCCTCCCCCTCATTGCCCAGGTGGACTCTCACACCTGCTCAGCATGTCGGCGAGGATATCCAGAGCTTCCAGCTGCACAGCCACATCCTCCTGCTGGGCAATGGCACTGGTCAGCTGGCCCGTGATCTTCCGGCACACATTGGTGGCCAGCCCGGAGCCTGCACGGGGCACAAGGTGAGCACAGTGAGGCCCTGGCCTGGAGGAAATGCAGCCTCCACCTCTGGTCATTCTCTGTTCTGGCTGTGTTCCTGAGCCCACATCCCCAGAACCCCAATGACCCAGGGAAGCTAGGGCACTAGGGTCCTGGGTTTGGCTCGGAGTCCCACCAAACTAAAGGAGATGGCTAGGGGAGGTGGAGACCCGTGGCCAAGCTGCTGGGCTGGCTCATTCAGCTTCAACCCCTCCTTCCTTGCCCACTTCCACTAGGGAGGTGGGAAAAGTTAGACATTTCACTTCTCACCTCCCTTTCTCCTAGGAGTGGCCAGGTGACCCAGTTCTGGCCAATAAGATATGAATAGAAGCCTACTGGGGACTTTTCTTTTTCTTTCCTTGAGTCAGAGTGTCACTCTGTCACTGAGGCTAGAGTGCAGTGGCACAACTACGGCTCACTGCAGCCTCAACCTCCTGGGCTGAGGTGGTCCTCCTGCTTCAGCCTCCTGCATAGCGGGGACTATAGTTGTGTGCTACCACGCCTGGCTAATTAAAAAAAATTTTTTTTAGAGACATGGTCTCAAACTCTTGAGCTTAAGCTATCCTCCCACCTCAGCCTCCCAAAGTGCTGGGATTACAGATGTAAGACACCATGCCTGGCTCTTATAAAGGGAAAGAGACGTGGGAGACATCTCAGTCCTGTCAACATTGAGCCACTAAATGAATTGGTCCAAAATGGAGTGGCTGATTCCTTCATAATTATCATGTGAGGAAATCCGTTTCTTTACGCTGCCATTGGCTAGATTCCATTACTTCACCCAGGATTTATTTATTTACTTATTTTTGAGTCGGAGTGTCACTCTGTCACCCAGGCTGGAGTGCAGAGGCACACTTACAGCCACTGCAGCCTCAACCTGCTGGGCTCAGGTGATCCTGCCACCTCAGCCTTCCAAGTAGCTGGAACTACAAGTGCGCGCCACCATGCCTGGCACATTTTTTGATTTATTGTAGAGACGAGGTCTCACCAAGTTGCCCAGGCTGGTCTCGAACACCCTGGCTCAGGCAATCTTCTCACCTTGGCTTCCCAAAGTGTTGGGATTACAGGCTGAGCCACTGCACCCAACCTAAAAGGTTTCTAATTGACCAAGAACCGTGCACTTAAATTGATCTGGGACTGAATCCTCTAACACTTCTACCTGAGTAATCTCAGGTAAGTCTCTGAGCCTCAATTGTTTAAACAATAAACTGGGACAAATAGTAACAGTACCAAGTCCTGGGGAGCTGGGTACCTGTGGCTGCAGGAGGGAGCTCCGAGAGGACAGTCTTGAGGCCAATGCCGGCAATGTCTCGGAGCTGCTCCTTGTCTGAGCGCATGTTGGTGCAGAGGGCATCCACGATGGTCTCCACCTGGTACTCTTTCACTTTGCCCACCAGAGGACCCAGGCTGAGCAGGGAAGGAGGAAGGGGAGTACAAGGGCCAAGGCTTGGCCTGAGTTAGGCTGCTCCCTCAGGTTCCTTCACACTCCTGGGGGCCACATGTGCTGAGAAAAAGGCCTCGGAGCCACAGGGGACCCTCCGCTTGGCCAGAAAGAGAAGTACCCTCTGGCTATGCCAGTATTGTCTCTGGCACCTCCCAAGCCTACATTTCTTCCTGTGATTTGCTTCTCAGTAGATGACCAAACAGTGCCCCAAAACAAACTTGAGTGTTCATAAGAATCCCCTGCAGGGCTCATTAAAACAGGTTGCTGGGACCCACTCAGAGTTTCAAATTTAGGCGACCCAGATAAGACCTGAGAATGTGCTTTCCTAGCAAGTTCCTAGTTGATGCTGATGCTGGTAGTCCAGGCTATACTTCAAGAACCTCTGCTTTAGAGCCTTGCTTCTCTAAGTCTGATCACGGGTCAGCACCATCAGCATCACCTGGGAGCTTGTTCAGGATGCAGAATCCCAGGTGCTATCCTGGATCAAGGACCTGCAGCTCCACAAGGTTGCCAGGCGACTGGCCTGCACATGAAGGTTGAAACACAGCTGCTCTAGACTCCCTGGTTCTCACCCGGGCCTTTGCAAAATGGTTACCTGGGTGCCACCCTCAGAGAATTTGAGTTAACTGGTTTCGGGTGTGGTCTGGACCGTGGGACTTTAAAAAATTCCCCAGGTGCTTCTAATGTGCCGTCAAGGTTGAGAACCTCTGCCCCAAAGGAGTGGGTCTCAGACTTGGTATGCATCAGAATCCAGACCCAGGGTGCTGTAATCCAATCCTGCTGGTCCTCCCCCCAGCCCCCTGAAACAGTCCCTGAGCAGGGAGTATCTAGTTTCAACAAGGGCCCCAGCTGACTGTGATGCATGCCCACTATCAATCCATGGCTTTCTCGACTTCTTTCTCCAGCAGCTCCTACATCTAAGTAATCATGGAGTTCTCCCTCCACCTCCTAGAGCCCTCGTTCCCCAGTGAGGTGACACTGCCCGGCAACTGATGGGCAATTCAAGAGCAATGACGTGCGTGGGGGCCATGGTCCTCATAATTCCTGAGTTGGCACTTCTGGCTTATATAGTGGGGCGAGGGCAGGAATGGTAGAAAAGCAATATTGTAAAACAAGGCACTGTTCATGTCCGCCAAAGTTTCTAACATTCCATGGGACACTTGTATAGGTAAAAAGTCTTTCTATAATTATTTGAATCTAAAATTTCATTTTATATTACACACAAAGTAATTTTACATTGTTTTCATATACTGTACTCTAGATTTTCCAAAAATGCAATGATCAGGTAAACAGAAGGAAGACTGGACTTTGTTTTCTGGGAAACCTCACTGGGAGATGATCACTACTGTAGGTGACTTCACCTCTAAGAGCAGGGCTGCTGTGACACCGAGTCCCCACCACCCCTCGGTATCCACTTCTGATGAGTTCACAGCCAGGCGCAGACTTCACATGACTTCAGCATCATTTCTCCTGTCACAGTGCCCAAGACCTTACATACTGAGACACACACCACTTTACCAGAAACTATATTCCTTCTGTTTTTCCTTGATGTGACTGACTAGGGTCTTCTACATGCCATTCTGTAATTATGTGTAGAGACAGGCCTTATTAGGTACGGATTTCATTTCCTAATAGGAAAAGAGTACTGCAAACTACTTGTTAGAGAAAGGAATTGGGTCTGTTGGTGGGAGACCACAACTCCACCCTAAGTCCATTCCGTAGCCAGAGAGATACTTCTGGACCACAAACCTGCCCATGTCATGGTCCTGTGTAAAACCCTTTCCTAAATTCTCTCTGCTCTTGGGATCATATCACAACTCATTAACATAAGAATGCCTGGGCCCAGGTCCAGCTCACAGAACCTGGTTTGAGGGGCAGTGCCCTAATTCTCTCTGTTGACCCTAAACCCCGGCCATTCTCATACCCCTCCCAGTCCCACCACACAAGCCCCACACATCATATCCCATCTTACTTTTTCTACTCTGGAGGCAACTGACCGACATCTGGGGATCACGACCTCACAATGCCTAGGGTTAAGGCTTTTGGGACATCCCAATCCTGTGTCTCCTAGGACCTTACTGCTCCGGTCCATGTCAGCCTGACCTTTCGGCTGCCAACACTTGCATCTCTGTCCAAGGGCTTTCTCTGGCTGGAGGGGCCAGGAAATGACTGACTCTTAGCCCTACCCCAGAAGTGGCCATCAACCAACGGCCAACAGAAAGCTGGTAGATTCATACCCCTTTGGGCAGGAAATCTCCAAGGGGAATGTCCTACACTGTGTCCCAGAGGTTTCCAGTGGGGTCACTTGCTTAGTAACAAGCCCTTATTGGATTTCTTCCCTTCCCTACCTCATGTCCCTACTCCTCTGTGTTTCCTGGGGTCATGCCCAAAGAAACTCAGACTTGGAGCCTTGTCTCAGCATCTACTTCCAGGGGAACCCAGATTCAGGCACTGTCTACCAGGAGATGCTCAGCAATCTTATCTCAGAGGCTGTACCCCAAAGGGGCAGGGACCCCAGGGGTGCTCCCCTGCCCTGGGCAGGGGCCCTTCCCCTGTCCCTGCTGAGACCGGCACTCACCACTTGATGGCCAGGTTCTGCACCTCCCCGTTCTTGTCCTCCAGGAGCTTAAGTAGCATCTTCACCACCTTGCGCTCACTGTCCTCGTCCAGCTGAATGGAGTCCTTCTGCAGCTCTGCCATCAGGTCGCTGGTGGCCATGAACCTGAGCGCGGGCGGGGGGGACAGGAGAGGATTGCTAGGCAGCTTCTGGGCCCTGGTGGCTTTAGATAGTATCTCAGTGTTGCCTAGAAGTAGATCTTGATACAGGGATTTAAGGGCAAGTACAGTTACGTACCACATAATGTTTCAATCAACGGGCCTCATATATGTCACTGGTCCCTTAAAGATTAGAATGGAGCTGTCCTATACAGGTGTGCCACTTGAAATCTTTTTTTTTTTCCTTAAGAGACAGGATTTCGCTCTGTCTCCCAGGCTCAAGTACAGTGCTGCAATCATAGCTCATGCAGCCTCGAACTCCTGGGCTTAAGTGATTCTTCCACCGCAGCCTCTCTAGTAACTAGGACTATAGGTATGAGCTACTATGCCTGGCTAATTTTTTTTTTTTTTTTTTTTTTGAGTTGGAGTCTCACTCCGTCACCCAGACTGGAGTGCAGTGGCCGCTCCCGGCCACCCAGCCTCGACCTGCCGGGCTCCGGCGATCCTTCCGCCTCAGCCTTCCAAGTAGCTGGAACTACAGGTGCACACTACCACATCTGACTAATTTTTTTTATTTATTGGAGAGATGAGGTCTCACTAAGTTGCCCGGGCTGTTCTCATACCCATGGGCTCAGGCAATCTCTTCACTCTGGCCTCCCAAAGTGCTGGAATTACAGACTTGAGCCACTGCACCCGGCTTGCCTGGCTAATTAAAAAAAGTTTTTTAGAGACAGGGTCTCACTATTTTACTTAAGCTAGTCTCAAACTCCTGGGCTCAATATATTCTTCCACCCCAGCCTCTCAAAGTGTTAGAATTACATGTGAGCCATTGTGTTCAGTCTCATTTTTTATCCTTTATACCATAGTTTTACTGTACCTTTTCTTTTTTTTTTTAGTTGAGGTCTCACTCTGTCACCCAGGCTGGAGTGCAGTGGCATGATCACAGCTCACTACAGCCTCAAACTCCTGTGTTCAGGCAATCCTTCCACCTCAGCCTCCTGAGTAGCTGGGAGTAGAGGAGTATACCACCACACCCAACTAATTTTTTGATTTCTTTTTTTTGAGTCAGAGTCTCACTCTGTCACTCAACTGGAGTGAAGTGGCACAATTATGGATGGCTGCTGCAGCCTCTGCTTGCTAGATTCAGGCAATCCTTCTGCCTTAGCCTTCCAAGTAGCTGAAACACTAGATGTGTGTCACCATGCCTGGTTAATTTTTCTTTTCTCTTTCTTTCTTTTTTTTTTGAGTCGGAGTCTTGCTCTGTCAGCCAGGCTGGAGTGCAGTGGTACGTTCATGGCCACTGCAGCTTCGACTTGCTGGGCTCAGGTGATTCTTCCACGTTAGCCTTCCCAATAGCTAAACACAAGCACACAACACCATGTCCCACTAATTTTCTTTGTATTGTAGAGACGAGGTCTCATCAAGTTGCCCAGGCTGGTCTTGAATCCCTGGACTGAAGCCATCCTCTCACCTCAGTCTCCCAAAGTGCTGGGATTATAGGTGTGAACCATAGAGTCCAGCTAATTTTTTTTTTTATTGTAGAGAAGAGGTCTCACCATGTTGTCCAGTCTGGTCTCGAACTTGTGAGCTCAGACAATCCTCTTGACTTGGTCTCCCAAAGTGCTGGGATTACAGGTGTGAGCCACCATGCCTAGCTTAATTTTTTTTTTTTAGAGATGAGGTTTAGCTATGTTGCCCAGGTTGGTCTCAAACTCCTGGGCTCAAGCAATCCTCCTGCCTCAGCCTCCCAAAGTGCTGGGATTATAGGCGTGAGCCACTCTGCCTGGTCTACTGTACATATTCTATGTTTAGATATGCTTAGATACACAAATGCTCACCATACTGTTTCAGTTGCCTACAGGGTTCAGTGCAGTGTGACATGCAGTGTAGGTGTGTAGCCTGGGCGCAACAGGTTATCCTATATTGCCTAAGTGCATAGGAGGCTACACCCCCTAGGTTGTGTAAGTACACTCCAATGTTCACACGATGATGAAATCACCTAACAAGGGACCCTCATCATTCAGCATCCAAATAATTGTAGATTATTTGGGTGTGGGCATGGTTGGGCTACAAGGAAACCCACTTATGTGTGACACTAATGACCATATAGTGGCAGACTAGGGATGGCACAGCATGCTGGCTAAGTGTTTGGTGGCTCCTGCCTGTGCCATTTATGCAAATGTAAACTTGGGTAAATCCTTTCACCTCTTTGGGCCTTAGTTTACCTGTCTGAAAATGGGTATGAGAGCTGTACCTGCACATGGTGAGTACTCGATAAATGGCACTCCTATTAACACAATGGCACATGAGATCATCCACACCTCACAACAGTAGCTAGGGGAGGGACCCCAGAAGGCTGAACAGACACCCTGTGACCTCTCTACCAGACAGGTGAAGGAGGGCGCGCCCTGCCCACCTCCATTTCAGAGAATCAACTCAGTCCCGGCCCTTAGACCAGTGGATCTCAAACCGCAGCCAGCATCAGAATCACCTGCGGGGATTGCCCACAATTGCTGGGCCCCAGTCCCAGAGTTTCTGAATCAGTAGGTCTGGGCTAAGAACCAAGAATCTGCACTTCTAGCAAGTTCCTGGATGATGCTGAGGGTCAGAAACCACACTTTGAAAACCACTGCCCTCGGCCATGCTGATGGGCATGGGCATACTTTGGAGACCAGCACCAATAGCTGACTGGCCCACTCACCCAGCGGAACACCAGCGCCAAGGATGACCCATCCACAGGTGGATGGGTCCATATGGCCTGACGCCATATCCCAGTCATCTGAAATGCAGTGGGAGTGTGGGTTGGAAGACCATGGATATTGGGACTGCGGAGGCATTACTGGGCACCATTCCTGCCAAAAACAAGAGGCTGGAACAGAGAGGTCTGAAGTTGATGGTCCTTGTCTGTGTCCTGCTTGTAAAGGTGTTCTCAGAAATGTGAATTACCTATCAACGTTTGAACACTAGGAGAGCTGGTATGACAATACCGATTTCCAGATTCTCTTGGAAACAGAGTATTTGAATGCATCTGGGCCTGCAACCCCTGGCGACAATGACCAGCTGAAGTCAGATCACGGCTGCCCTCTCTCCAATTCACCCAGTCCCCACGAGGCCCACTTCATCCCTTTGCTGGCTCCTGTAGGCACCTGAGACCAGAGACTTGAAAGAGCAGGACAAAAAGCAGCAAGGAGAGAGGCTGGGAGGCTGCCCCAGAGAAGCCTCCAGCTTCTGCTGAGCCTGTCAGGCCACTCTGCCTCCTCACGCCAGCCAGCTTTCTGGCATGGTCGAGCAAGTCAACCAGGAGCCCTGCCCCCACCTCCTGTGGCAAAATCTGTCACAGTCGGGATTCTGGCCCTCACCTTGGCAGGCTCAGACCTGCTGCTTGATGCCGTGGTAGCCCACAGTGTCCTGTTCCCAGGGAGACCTTGTCAGTATCATGGCTGTTTCTTTTTAAAGCTGGGTTAACCTCAAGCTACTGAGAAGGAAGGAGGCTAGGCTGGTGGCCAGGAGGCAGATGGCAGGACCGACTGTGCCCACCTCTGGGCAAAGGCAAGGCGAGGGAGGAGGTTTGAATTTGAGCCAGGCCAAAGCCTGAGGTGGGCACATGTACCCCTAGTTCTGCTCAGCTGAGGGGACATTTTGAGAAGGCAGGCAAGGTCTCCAAGCTGTGTTTCTGCTGCAGTCCAGACAGGCCCAGCTCAGCCTGGCAACCCAGGGAATGGGCTCTTTTGCCCAAGGTGGGCCTCCTGGATCCCTCCTTCTTCACCTGTTGAACTCCTAGTCATCCATCAGGAGCCCAGCTTAAATGTTCCAGCTCAGGGAGGATTCTGACCATCTACCCCTCACCCACACTCCCTAAGCACAATTGGTCCCCCTGGACAGGCTCCTTTCTGAGCACTCTGCACCCCTCCATTACAGCCTTCTCACACTCGCAATGTGAGTTTGGTCACCAAAGCATCTCCCCCATTAGACTATAAACTCACTGAGGGTGGAGGCCCATCAGGTTCGTTTCTGGGACTCCAGGCTCAGCAAAGAGCAGGTCCACAGAGGACCTGGGGGGCGGGGCAGGCGAGGGCAGGAGGGGAGGGAGGGAGGGAGGGAGCTGTCCCTTAACAGAGCTTAGAATCAGACAGCTGTGTAGAAACCTGAACTCAGAAGCCAACTCTTCTGAAGTAAGCCTCAGCGTTTCGGACAGTCCCGCGTTCCCGCAGACACCCAGCTCTCAAAGAAAGCAAGCCGTATTGTACATAGATGCGTGTAGGCTGGGAGGGGGGAAGGAAAGTATAATTTGGTGGCTAAGAGCTCGAGTACCGAAGTCTGGCTTTAAGGAAGTATACTGGTCTTATCATTTATCAACTAGGCGACATTGGACAACTGCTTCCTTCTCTCTGGACCTGTTTCTCTGTGTATAAAATGAGAATTTTCTTTGCCCCTACCTCATGGCATCCTTGGGAGGTTTTAGTAGGACAACCAGTTCTTAGCATGAGGAAACCAGACTCAGAGACTGGAGGAACTGTCCAAGGTCACACAGCAAATTAGGTGGAGAACCAGCCCACCAGACAAGTCTCCTGGCTCCTCCACGGATACTACTGTTTTCAACCAATGATTGGGGAATTCTCGCGAGAATTGGGCTTCTTCACTTCGACGGCTGGAGTCACAGTGGTCATGAAGCAGCTTCCTGGACCAGGACCCAGGAGGAACAGGAATCAAAGGCCTGGGACCCCTCACCCCCATTTGCCATCATCATCCCCTCCACGAACCAGAGGACACAGTCTCAGTTTCATGCCAGAGAAACCCTAGAGGCTGAAACACTTGGCCACATGGGCAGGCGCCTGGACAACTGGTCTGCCGGACCCAGCCCCCCTGGCACCCAGACTCTAAAAATAGACACCATTCTCATATGCTTGGGGCTGTTTTAAGTGTTCTTGAGGCCGTTGGCAGAGACAGGCTGAAAGGACTTCTCAGGCTCTGGCTGGCAGGCCCAACTCCCTCTCCCAGAGGCTGGACCTAGGCCTGACGGACACTAGTGCAAATCTTTTCGGTCTGGCCATGTGACCTCAGGCGAGTCACTGCACCTCCCCAAGCTTCTGGAAAACAGGAAGAACAATCCTGTTCTTGGACTGAGATTACCTGTGGAGCACACAGCAGGAAGCCTGGGACCCAGCACACATCTGCTAAGCACCCACGGTGCACAAGCACAGGCTCCCGGGGAACCAGAAGGAAGTGCCCAGTCACAGTGGTCCAGGAGCTCAGGGCCTCTCAGGGCTGGAAAGTGGTCTGGAGGGAGGCGGAGTGGGAGCCGAGAGCAGGTGCCTCAGCCTGCCCGGTGTCAGGAGGCATCCTCAAGAGGTAACAACTGAGGGGGGAGCTGGCAGGTGCAGGGGGAGGCCAAGGGTGTGCAGAGGACCTCCCAGGAAGGTCTAGAGAGGGGAAAGGGCACGGCAGAAGCGTGTGCACAGAATCATGACAGTGCCCGTGGAGAAAGGCTTCCCGGGTACCAGCCATCAGTCTCAGTGTTTCACATGCACTACCTCATTTCAGCCTCATTCCAGCCCTCAGAGGCGAGTTCTGTTATCACCCCATTTCACAGAAACAGCAGAGGTTCAGAGGAGTTCAGGAACCTGCCTATGGTCACACAGTTAGTAAGAGGTGGGTGCCGGGATCTGAAGCCAGGACCATGGCTCCGAGGCCCTACTCATGCCAGGGGTTCTTGAGAGGTGTTGAGCCACGGGGTGCAGGAGACAGCCAGGCCCCCCCACAAGAGCAGGTCTATCCCCTCACCTGCTATGGGTGCAATCAGAGGGCCTGCCTAAGATCCTGGTCTCTGTCTTAGATGGTCCAGATTTGGACCCTAAGTTCTCCACTTCCTGGCTTTGTGACAGCACCCATGACTTTCATGCCTCTGAGCCTCAGTTTCCCTATCTGCACAATGGAGATAAAGTGATGGTAAGTGAGCATGGTTATGTTGGCCTCTAAGGTCTCCTTCTAGCTGGGAGGGGCCAGAACCGGGCACGTGAGCGCCAGGCAATCCCTTCTCCCTGGGCCTCAGTTCCCACCTGAGGATGAGGGTTTGGACCAGACCTTTCCACCACTCGTTTCTGCTTTGTTTCTGCGGTTCCGCGCCGCCGGGAGCGCGGAAAGAAAAAGGGACCGGGGCACTGGAGGGGCACACCAAGCCCGGAAGGCCCCAACCGTCCCCGGCCGGGCCGCCAGGCCAGACTTGGCCCGGCCCCCGCCTTCAGGACGGCGGCAGCGGAGCGGGCGAGGCGAGG